ATCCCCCCCCCCCCTAATTACCCCCCCCCCCCCCCCCCGCCTTGCCCTGAGCTACTAGGAAGAAAACTTTCCAGAGCTGCCACAGGGGGGCAGTAAAATGCCACATGGCACTGGCACCGCACTGGCGCACTGGCAGAAGTCAATGGTAGGGAATAGGACGGACCCGGAGCTGGGAGCCTCAGGCTTCAGGAGCCCTGAGGGCCCAGCCCCGACCTTGTGCTGACACGTCCCCGGTTCCCGCAGGCCGCGTGTTCTTCCTGAAGCCTCTACGGCCGGTGGCCTTGGCCGGGGCAGCTCGCGCTTGCGCGGCACGAGGTGCGACAGTGGCCAAGGTCGGGCAGCTGTTCGCCGCGTGGAAGCTGCAGCTTTTGGACCGCTGCACTGCCGGCTGGCTGGCCGATGGCAGCGCGCGCTACCCCATCGTGAATCCGCGAACTCGCTGCGGGGGCCCCCGGCCGGGCGTACGGAGCCTCGGTTTTCCTGACGCCTCACGACGTCTCTTCGGCGTCTACTGCTACCGCGCTCCAGGTGCCCCAGACCCGGCTCCAGGAGGCTGGGGCTGGGGCTGGGAGGGCGGAGGAGGCTGGGCAGGAGGGTCAAGGGACCCGGCTGCCTGGACCCCGCTGCGTGTCTAGGACTGCGAGGACGGGCATTTGGGGATGCTGGTGGCTGATCCAGGGGCCCTGCACACCCCATGGAGACAGACTACATACCAGAGAACCCTTGAACACGTCACACTCCCGTGGTGTGCTGACTCAACTCCCTGTGGTCTTAGGACTCTGACCACACCTCCTGAGGTCTCCTTGATACGCGGCGACCCCTGCAGTGCCCTGCAGGCTGACACACCTGTTGAGGCCCTTGTTCGCTGACTGTGCGGCTCTCTGAGACACCCTGATAGTGGCCAAGCCCACTTTTCTGGATAGTGGATGTCTGGAAGAGCCTCGCTCCCCGCCCCCAACCTGAGGATCTCAGTAGACCAACAGGACCCCATGGTTTCCTAAAAACCTTTCTGTGGCCTCCTGGAAAACAGTCCCTGTCAGTCACCTGGAGGCTGGACCCCCAGGATTAACTGGAGACTGGCCACACAAACCCTCTGCCTTTCCTGGGAGCTGGAAAACTGGTTTTAGACAGTCGACTGTCCACTGACTTTTTCTCATTACTTAGTGAAGAAACAGAAAACTATGAGTCAAAAGGTGGCCACGCCCTGTTCCAGCGGGTGGCGCAGAGGCTGGGTATTCCCGCGTTTCCAGAGAGTCTATTTAACTTTCTAAGGCAACATGCCTAGTCCTCAGTCACTATGGAAGAGAGTCCCAACACTCTGGCTTCATGGGAGAATGTCCCCAGCTGGCTCCCAGGAACAGTGACCATGCCTACCCCTCAGGTATGTCTCTGGCCAGAGATTAGACTTGCCTGAATGTCCCTTTGCAGGGCTCCTTGGAGCTGTCACCAAAGACATCATTTCCTCAAACCTGAAACCCCTGAAAATCTCACTTGCTATAGAGACATGCTGCAATGCTTCTTAAGATGAGAAAAGTCACTAATACATCTTTACCTGTCCTCTCACCCCTTACACCGAGTTCCACACTTTTCCTTTCTTACTGGTCTAGAGCCCAGACACCTACCACTCCATTTCCAGATGTCCCCATCCTGATGGACTGCTATGGAGACTGTTTTCCCCTCTAAGTCCTCAGGGTGACCCAGCATTCATTTCTCTAGTCCTCTCCATGGAAACAAGCTGCCCCATTCCCAAGGTGCACCTCCCTCTCTTCTCAGCCATCCAAGACCCTCCTGGAGACAGCTTGAACCTCACAGCTGTTGCCATGGAGACCAAACTCTGGTGTCCAAGATAACAGAACACCTGTCCCTCCAAGGTTTCCCTCCAGGATTCTGTCCTGTTCAGCTGTTGCCATAGAGACCGTCAATGTCTCCATGACAGCCCATCTGCAGCTCTTAGGAACTTCGAGCCAAGGGCAGAGTTCTGATTGGAGCTGCCTGCTGCGTTCCTCAGGGCCTGACAAATGTCCCTTTTTCAGATGGGCCCAGGCAGGGCTGTGCTTCTGGAGCAGCTGCCTACCACAGTTCATTTGCATGTTAACTCTACAGGAGGCAGCAGCTAAGCACAAGCCACTACTGAAACCCCTCACATTTTAAATTATCACCCTGTAGGCGAGAAAAGAGACTGTAGCATAGGGTCAGAGCTCTCCTTCCCTGGAGATCAAGGAGGGTGGAATGTTCCTGAAAACACCAATTCAGTTTCTGAGGAAACATGTGTGTTCAAGGGTCAGGATCAACATCCAAAGACTGTATAGTCAGAGCCATCCCAGATGCAGGAGTTCCCAGCTCTGAGGTGCTGCTTGGAGCAGCAAGTGCCCTTGTCAGCACCCTCCAGCCTGCCCCATTCTGCAAAACCCACCTTTGAGTCTGGAAGCTGGATGGCTGTGGGCTCAAGCCACTCATTTTGTTGTAAAATGTTTGACCAAGTGACAGAACTTGACCAGGCTCTTTCTTCTCTGGACCAGGATTGCTCGGGGGTCACACAGAGCAGCCTGCAGCCCCATGTTCAATAAATCTTTGTTCCTTTTGATGACTGAGAAACATACTGCCGTGCTCCTCTGTCTCAGTGTAGTGGGCTTCTCAGGCTGGGCTGGGAAGCAGCTGCCTTCCTTCAGTGCCCACCCACCCAACGCTGAAACATAAACCAGGACCCTATGAAGTACTCTGACTTCCTCAAGTGCATAGTGGATGTGTGCATAATAATCCTGTAATTTTAAAAATGGGTTCAGCTAGGATCTGGTTATGGAATTTAGGTAGCCATCTATAATTTTTTTGTGTTTTGTCGGAACTACTATGTGCTGTTCTTTTGGTCTGGTCCCTTTAAGGGGCAAGCCACGCCCACTCCCAGAGACTTCTGACCTCTCTTCTGACCTCCAGTCCCTGCCATCTTAACTCTTTTCTTCTGTCCCCTCTCTTGGCGTGTGCACACGTGTTTTTCCCCTCTTTCTCTCTTTTTCTAAATCTGCCTTTCTTTCTCTCCCTCTTCTTTAAGTAATAAATGTTTACCTTTATGTTTAGCCTTATGTCTATTTACTTTGTTCTGTAAGCCTTTTATCCACCACCTGGTCACCCGCCCACCCTCTTGTGTGACTCTCCTGGCTGGTCACATGGCAGGACCAGCCTGTCCAGGACACGCTCCCGCCAGCTGTGCTGCTCGCCGCAGGGAACCTGCACTGCTCTAGCTGTCTCTGCCTGGACTAGCGGCTGCGTTCACCCCAGCATTATTATTTTTTAAAGAACAAAACTATGCACATGCCTGCTGCCCCTGGAGGCCTGAAGAGAGAGTTGTATCCCCTAAAACTAGAGTTATAGATAGTTGTGGTTTGAGCCTCAGTCGTCTGGAAGAGCAGCCAGTCTCTTAATCACTAAGCCATCTCTCCAGCCCCTAATTTTTATTTGTAAACTTTATTCATTCGCTTTTTTTAAATTTATTTATTTATTATGGATACAGCATTCTGTCTGCGTGTATGCCTGCAGGCTAGAAGAGGACACCAGATCTCATTACAGATGGTTGTAAGTTGCTGGAATCAAACTCGGGTCCTTTGAAAGAACAGGCAATGCTCTTAACCGCTGAGCCATCTCTCCAGCCCTCCAGCCCTCAATTTCATTCGCTTTTTTTAGTGCGTGGAGTGTGTACGAGTGGTCAGAGGACGTGCCTGAGTCTCAGGGGTTAACTAACATTCATGCAGTCCTGGACCAATCAGGGTTGCTCTGGGAAATGGTCTATACCATTGGCTGAACTGGGAGGGATGTCTCATCCAGTGAAATCAGGGAACTTTAGAGAGGAAAGAGAAAACTCGGAAGCTGGATCTACTTCAGGGATGGAAAAAATTTATCTAGAAGTTTATCCCACTCTGACCCATGCTGGGCGTGCTGATACACACCGTTAGTGCCAGCGCTCTGGAGGTAGAGGCAGTTAGATCTCAGTTCAAGACCCACTTGGGCTGCAGCAATGGTTCTCAACCTGTGGGTCTCGGCCCCCTTGGGAATCACATATATTTACAATGATTCATAACAGTAGCAAAATTACTGTTACAAAATTACAACCAAAATTTTATGGGTCACCTCAGCATGAGGAACATAGCAAAGCATTAGGAAGGCTGACAACCACTGGTCTGTAGAGTGAGTTTCAGGCTAGTTAAGGCTATATAGTGAGACACTACTTCAAAAAATAAAACATCCTCCCCCCAAATAAACTAAGCCAAGGCCGGGCGGTGGCAGCACACACCTTTAATCCCAGCACTCAAAAGGGAGAGGCAGGTGGATCTCTGTGATTTCAAGGTCAGCCTGATCTACACAAGAGCTAGTTCCAGGACGTGCTCCAAAGCTACAGAGAAACCCTGTCTTGAAAGAAACCAAAACTGGGATTTAAGGTGTGTGCCACCCTGCCTGGCCTCCTTTCCTGCTTTTGTTTCTTGTTTCTGACAGGGTCATATGTAGCCCAGGCTGTTCTTCTTGCTTCCACCTCATGAGTGCTGGGATGAGGGTTGCGCATACTGCTTCTGTCTGTTGAGATGTGTGTGTTGGTTACGTTTCTTCTCTCTGTGACCAGATGCCAGGCAGAGCAAATTAAGGGAGAAAGGGCTTATTAGACTCTCAGTTCGAGGATGCAGTCTGTCTCAGTGGGAATGTCTCAATGGCAGGGGCATCAGGTCGCACTATGCCCACAGTCAGAAAGTAGAGTAATGAATGCTGCTGGTCCCCATTTTCTCTGTCTTTACACTGGTTTTGCTTTGTAAGATTTCTTTATTTTGGCCTGGAGGGATGGCTCAGCCGTTAAAGGCTAGGCTCACAACCAAAAATATAAGAGTTCGGTTCCCAGCACCCACGGCTGTCCCTCCAGGTACTATATAAAAATAAAAAAGAAAAAAAGGAAAAAAGATTTCTTTATTTTGTGGGGGAGGGGAGGATACACTTCATGATCCCATTATGGTTCTCCACTAATACCATGGGTTCAGGGAACTGAACTAAAACCATTAGGCTTAGCCGCAAATGGTTTACCTTCCCCAGCAGAGCCATCTTGCTGATGTTTTCAATAAATCAGATTTTCAGGATGACTTTAGTCTTTTCTCTGTCTGAAACCGTGGCCACCCCCCACCAAGTCTAGCTCATGCTATGCCTCCATTGCACCCTCCTTGCCTGGCACGCAGGTGTACACCTGGAGGCTACTGCAGGAAGAGCTCGTGTCCGCCTGGGACACATAGTGACCTCTGTTAAAAACTAAATTAATAAATGAAGAAGACAGCATCAGCCCGAGGCTGCAGCTCATCTAGTGGAGCTTGTGGCCCAGCTGGTAGCGTACTCGCCTAACATTTCCAAAGCTCCCAGCGTCCCACCTTTAACCCCAGCACTGGGAAGGCAGAGGCAGGTGAAATCTCTGTGAGTTCGAGGCCAACCTGGTCTACAGAAACTTTTTTTCTGTAAACAGAAAACAAACAAACGAAAAGCCCCAGTCAATCAGGAGTTCAAGGTCATCCTCAGAACTTAACGAATTCTGGCCAGCCTAGGTTATAAGAGTCCTCATGTCAAAGAAACTCAGGTGTCCAGTGAATAATACCAGACAGGTGAATGGCTGAGAAACAGTCTCAGGGGGCCACAGGCAAAAGGGACTGTTAAAAAAATTTTATTAAAATGTCCAAAGAAGTACATTAACATCCACAGTGTCAGCGCAGATTCACGGAAGTTCAAAGCCCCAAGAAAAAAACCCAGAAGAACCTGTAGCCATTCACACGCACACTCACACTTCTGCCACACACGGCCCAGAGGGAAAGAGCAGAAGACGAATCTCCACAACAGAAAACACCAAAAGCTCTCCATTCCTGGAGCAGGGCTGGGTCAGAGCACAGCCACCAAGCCCCCAGCAGCCACATTCCCAGTCCTCCTGCCTGGGATCGCCAAGGGCTTGGCTAAGGTTCTCCCCCTCTGAACCATGAAATGTTAGTAAGAAAACAGTTGTGGGCCCAGCTTCCCAGCCACAGCCAGAGGCCAGACTTTTCGCAGCAGGGGCCACTAGGGATCATGGTCCCCTTTGCTTTTCTCAACTAATTCCCAAACCTGTGTGTGTGTGTGTGTGTGTGTGTGTGTGTGTGTGTGTTCATAGGCCAGTAAAGAGGTCAATGTTTTCCTCCATACACAAAGCAAAGTTTGAAGCACAAATGAAGACCAGGGTTTGGGATGGGGCTGAGTTGATAGTGTTTGTAGAATAACTGATTGATAAGAGTGCCTGCAGCTCAGCGGGCGCAGTGCCTGCGGCTCAGCGGGCGCAGTGCCTGCTGCTCAGCGGGCGCAGTGCCTGCGGCTCAGGTAGTATACACAAAACTCTGGGTTCCATTCCTAGGACTGTATGTACCAGCTACAGTGGTGCACACCTGTCATTCCAGCACTTGGAAACTGAGGCAGGAAAATCAGGAGTTTAAGGTCATCCTCAGCTACACGGAACATTCAGGCCAACCTGGAATACATGAGGCCCTGTTTAAAAAACAAAGCAACTTTACACTAATTACAATGCACAGAACAAAATCTTTCCTGTCTGTAACTTTGCCTTCCTCTAGTATTGAAACCTCACTACCTTCATGTGTAAAATGGGAGACTAAGGGCTGCTGAGAGGAATTGAGGGCAATAATACGATGACTTGGGTGACTTTTTCTCAGTAACTGCCCCAGGCTTTCAATACCTTCCATGAGGGATGTAGGCTCAGTAAACACAGTCCCATCTGTATTGATCCCTGGAGTAGGCCATACATACACTTGCTTAGGAAGAGCTGGGGAAGGAACCCAGGACCTTGTGCAGGTCTGGCTAAGCACTGCACTTGTCCCTGCCCTGCCAAACCAGATCCCACACATTTTGAAAAATCTTACTTATTTTGTGCTTGTGCAGTATGTGTGGGAGGCTGGGTTTGTATGGGTGGGGGCTTGTGTTTGTGTAGGTGAGTTTGCTCGTGTTGCGGTGTGCATGTGAAGGTCAGATGACCTTTAGGAGCTGGCTACAGTCTTCCACTTGTTTCTGCCATGCTACACCCTCCAGGCCAGCTGGCTCACAAACTCTGTCAAACTCTGTCCACCTCTCACAATACGAATACTGGGATTATAGATTCATGTCACCCCACCTGGCTTTCCTTTTGCAGAGATTAAACTGGCTTCTTCCGGCTTATTTGACTAGCATCATTACCGGCGGGGCTGTGGTCAAGCTCCGGAAGGTGGTTTTAGCACAAATTCACAGGTTTTAAACCCAGACAGGAGGGCCTGAAAGTGGAGACAAATCTCTGGCCCCTCTGGGTGATGAACCCCACCCCTGGCTTGGGGAAGTCTTTTCTGAGGTGCAAATGGGAAGAGGGAGTATAAGTAGGCTCTGTCACATCTTAAAAGAGTGAGACTAGGTGTGAGACAAGTGTGTGTGTGTGTGTGTGTGTGTGTGTGTGTGTGTGTGTGTGTGACTTCTGATACCTAACACTGGGACTGGGACCACAAGGAGCCCACTGACAAGGTGTGGAGACAGGATGCGGTAGGGCAGAGGTAGGGCCTGAGGCAGGGGATTTACTGAGGTCTGCAGAAAGGGTTTGGTAAGGACGGGCTCTGGGCTAGAAAATGTGGCACCTACGTGGTTCCGGCAGGAGGTTATCTGTCTCCCTGAGAGATGGAAGGCAAGGAAGGCAGTGGCAGCCAGATCACATTTCTATCTACATGGGTGTGAGAGACTGTCATCACAAACCCATGAACCACCACATGGCTGAGAAGGGATTGCTGTGGGCTGAAATCCAGCCTGGTTATAGAATGAGATCCTATGTCAATAAACAAGAGAAGGCCAGGCATGTAATCCCAGGAAGCAGAGGCAGGCAAATCACTGAGTTCCGGGCCAGCCTGGTCTACATAGCAATTTCCAGGCTAGCCAGGGCTACACAGTGAAGCGCTGTCTCAAAACAAAAAGAACCTCAAAACAGAAGTACTGTGGCTCAGCACTCCACCAGACCTGGAGGGAGGCCAGCAATATACTACCCCCTCCCCATTGCTCTAAGTAATCCCCCCCCAAGCCAAGGAGGCCAGTGGCTCTAAGAGACATCACTAAACTTCAGCACACAGAGGTCCACACTAGATTTATGCACCAATACCAAAGACCAGGGCTAGGGCTTAGTTAGTAGAGAGAGCACTTGCTGTACTCGTGAGGCCCGGGGTCCTGTCTGCAGCACCAAATGAACCGGGCGGGCATGGTGGTGCATAGCAGGAGAATCATCCTTGGCTACAATAGCGAGTTCAAGGCCAGTCTAGTCTATGGGGATGGGGGAGATGGAGGGTTGGGGGGAAGGAAGAAGAAAGAAAGCCACACAGATCAAAGACCACCCTTGGGGTCAATCCCAGGTGAAGATAGAACAGGCCATGTTTGCACTGTGGTCTTCTGAGCCTCACTTTCAAATTCAGTGACCTTTAGTCAAAGCTTCACCCTGGATTTAGGATGGTTCACCATTTACTAAGCCTGAATCTCTGGTGTGAAAGCTACTCCCAGAACATACACAAAGACACACTATTGGACCCTCTAGGAAGTTTGGCAGCCAGACTTCGGGAGCCCCTTTCCTGTGACTGGGAGATACTCCTAGAGGCTCGGCCTGACCACCCTGGTCACTGCCAGGAGGACCTCAGGAGGGAAGGAAGGGGAGATCTGAGCTTTGTACAGAAGACCACAGGGTGTGGGTCCCAGGGGTGTTCCCACCCTCTCTCCGTGGGTGTCTGAGTTCTGGCTTCCCAGGAGAATGCTCCGGAAGAGATGTGGGAGTGTGTGCTTGCTTAGCCTGGGTTTTCAGCAGAAATCCCCTGCGTCCTTCTCCCAGTTTTCCACTGGGTGTCTTTTGTGTTTTCTGTGCTCCTTGCGGGGATTGTGATGTCGGTGCTGGCGGTGGCGGTGTCTACGCATCCGATGTGATCGCCTGGCTGCAGGGATGGGAAAGAGATGAGAAGGGGTGAAGATCAATGTTGGGGTGGTTGGATGTCACTGGCCTCCTCAGGGGGATGAAAAGAGAAAAAAATACAAGCAGGCCAGGTATGGTGGCTTTGGGAACAGAGGCAGGAAGAACTCTGAGTTCAAGGTCAGCCACAAACTGCATAATGAGACTGTCTCAAAAAACTCAAAGAATCAAGCCAGGTGGTGGTGGCACATGCCTTTAATTCCAGCACTTGGGAGGCAGAGGCAGGCAGATCTCTGAGTCCGAGTCCAACCTGGTCTACAGAGCAAGTTCCAGTATAGTCATGACTACACAGGGAAACCCTGTCCTTTTTTTTTTTTTTGCATTACATTTTTTAATTAATTGATTAATTTATTATGTATACAATGTTCTGTCTGCATGTATGCCTGTCCACCATTAGAGGGCACCAGATCTCATAGATGATTGTGAGCCACCATGTGGTTGCTGGTAATTGAACTCAGGACCTCTGGAAGAACAGCCAGTGCTCTTAACCTCTGAGCCGTCTCTCCAGCCCGAAACTCTGTCTTGAAAAACAAAACAAGACAAACAAAAAACAAAAACAAAATTCAATTTGGTGAGGGCTGAAAATGTGGCTTAGATTACCAAAAGAGCTCCATACCTGAACTGTGTGGGTCAAACTCTGTAAGCCCAGGCTGTCCTGGGATCTGCAGCTGCTTTGCACCAGTCTCAGAGTAGCTGAGCACGGGGTCAACGCCCAGAGCCAACCAGCTGCCGTGGGGACTTGTGTACACCTGTTGTCCCAGCATTTCCATGTGGGAAGGAAGCCTTGGCTACACATTCCAACTTTGAGGCCATACTGTGCTACTTGAGATTTTGTAGCACAAAACACAAACAAAAGCACTAGGTGGGCTGGTGAGTTTTCATTTCTCTGTAAGGCTGCATTACCAGGAGGATTTTTGTTTTGTTTGTCAAGACATGGTTTCTCTGTGTAACAGCCTTGGTTGTCTTGGAACTCAAATTGTAGAGCAGGATAGCCTAGGTCTGCCTCTGATTGCAGGGATTGGGATTAAAGGTGTGTGCCACCACTGCTGGGCCACAGGAAGACTTTTTTAAGACAGAGCCTCACATAGCTCAGGCTGACCTTAAACTTACTTTATAGCAGAGGATGACCTTGAATTCTTGATTCTCTTGCCTTGCCTCTACCTCCTGAGTGCTGGGAGGACAGGCGTATGGCAATGGAGCCCTGACTCTACCCACTGAGTCCCACCCTCAGCTTAGCTTTCTTCTTCCTGTGGGTCTTATGCAATAGCCCAGGATGACCTCGAACTGTAATCTTCCTGCCTCAGGCTCCACGTAGTGGGGGTGACAGATGATGCTGTACCACTGTGTGGAGACAGGACCCTATAAACAACCAGAGCTTTGTCAGGGACAGATTATTGGACATAGTACTTACGTTTGGTGCAGACAATCTGGGGCCGGTCCCACTTTCCATTGTTCCGGCAGCGGATAGTGGCTACGTGGTGCTGGGAGAACCCTTCGTCACACTGGTACCGCACAGTGGCGTGAACACTGTACCTGGCTTTGTGCACACCGACAAGAGAGGCATTCTCCACTGCTGGAGGCGGGCCACAGAGCACTGGGGACAGAAGGGCTGAGGGTGACACATCTTGTCAGAGCGCAGGGAACTCCACGTGACTGTGCCTGTTTCTTGCTTTTTCCCTAAACCAGAAACTCCTTGGGGGAGTGTGAAATCTTCTGGACAAAACCCACTCCCTAGGGCATAAGGCACAAGACTAAGCTGAAGCACAAGAGAAGAGTAAACAGAATGCATACAATTGTTTCCTTCATATGTAAAGAGTGCTAAGAAATTAGCTTGGTGGCACATTTAACCCCAGCACTCTGAGTTCAAGGCCAGTTTGGTCCAGTGAGTTCCAGGACAGCCAAAGCTACCCAGAGAAACCCTGTGTTAAAAAACCAAATAAAAAAATTTCAAGGGCTGGAGAGATGGCTAAGAACATTGCCTACTCTTCCAAAGGTCCTGAGTTCAATTCCCAGCAACCACATGGTGGCTCACAATCATCTGTAATGAGGTCTAGTTCCCTCTTCTGGCGTGCAGGCATACACACAGACAGAATATTGAATACATAGCAAACAAACAAACAAATAAATAAATATTCTTTAAAAATTTCAAAATAAATAAATAAAAAGAAAAAAGAATCACTAATGCTAAGGAATTAAAGGGAAAAAATCAGGACACAGGAAAAGAACCTCAAGTGTCTGGAAGGAAAGTGGGAAGGGGTGTGCACAGTACCTGTGCCCTTCTTGCAGACATAGGGGAGGTTGTAGTTGCAGGGTACATCATTCCAGCGCCCACTCTCGTGTGCCACCATCACCACACAGTCCTCTCCACCGGCGAAGAAGTTGTCTGGCTGATTCTCCCTCCAGTTCTCATATTGCTTTGAAAAGAGAGAGCTGAGTTCATTCTGGTGCCTGTGTGTCAGCCCAGGTCCAGCCCAGACCCCTCCAACAAGAAGGGGATTGATGCACCCCCACCACAGACACTGGCTGTCTCCAGGGATTGATGCACCCCCACCACAGACACTGGCTGTCTCCAGCTGGGAGAACGCAGCAGCCTTCTTTTCTTCTTGCCTCCTTTATAGCTTCTTCCCAGCTCTCCACGTGCACCAGCATTAGGTAAATAGCTGAAAAAGCTGACCCCAGCTTGGAAGTACAGGAGGGCTTCCCCAGGGACAACAGGAAGTGTTAAAGCAGAGGGGCAGGCAGGGGACAGAGTTCCAAGCCCAGGGAACAACATTTGCAAAGGCCCAGGGGCAGGGAGGGAGTCAATGCCAGGTGGTGGTACTGCTTGTCGGCAGAGAGGCAGAGAGTGGGCAGGGCCAGATCTCATGAGGGGGCAAGAAGAAATGGGTATTATACAAATTGTGGTAGTGTATGTATACCACACCATGAAACGTGCCTTTAAAGGTTTTTTTTTTTTTTTTTTTTTTTTTTTGGTTTTTCGAAACAAGCTTTCTCTTGTAGCTTTGGAGCCTGTCCTGGAACTAGCTCTTGTAGACCAGGCTGGCCTGCAACTCAGAGATCCGCCTGCCTCTGCCTCCCAAGTGCTGGGATGAAAGGCGTGCACCACCACCGCCTGGCCTCTTTAAAGGTATTTTTATTACATTTAAAAATTTTGGGCAAGAGAGGTGGCTCAGTAATTGAGCACTGGCTGATCTTTCAGAGGACCTGAGTTTGTTTCTCAGCACCCACATGATGGCTCACAACTGTCTGTAACTCCAGTTCTTCTGGCCTCTGAGGGCACTGCATGGACATGGTGCACAGACACACATGCAGACAAAACCCTCCTGTGCATTAAATAAATAAGTAAATAAAAAAGAATTTGTTTATTTAAACCAGGCATGGTAACACATACTTTTAATCCCAGCACTCAGGAGACAGAGGCAAACAAATATCTGGGAGTTCAAGGCCAGCCTGGTCTACAGTGGGAGGTAGACTGGACTACTCAGAGAAGCCCTGTCTCAAAAAAAAAATTTTTTTTTCCCAAAAACTGTTTATTTCAGAAGGGGACACACATAGCACGCACCTTTGGCAGTCCCCAGGGATCAAACTCAGGTTCTCAGGTTTGGTAATGAACTTGCACCCGTTTGTGCCATCTCACAGAGCCCATGTACACCGTTTTAAAGCCATGGTTCATGGCGTCACTCCCATCTTAGTGTTGTGTAACCATCACCACTGCATCTGTTTCCAGACATTTTCATCACGACAAACCAAAATTCTACGCCAATTCAGGAAAAAATAATTCTTCATTCTGCCTGTGTGGCTCCTGGGATCCACAGCCTGCCCTGCCTCCACCCACAGCTCCTCTCAGGCTTCATAGGCTTCAGGCATTGATGACTTTAGCCTGGCGCTTATCTTCTTCATAGGCTTCAGGCATTGATGACTTTAGCCTGTCGCTTATCTTCTGAGGCTTGTTGAGCCAGGGCTCAGCTGTGCAACAATGACTGGTTTACAACTCACTTGGCACGGCAGCTAGAGCTCCAGCTTGCAATGCTCCTCTTGCCTCAGCCGCCAAGTGCTGGGATGTCAGAAAAGCACCACAATAACCACGCTACTTCAGTGTTGTGTATTTCTTCATATTTTACAGCTGGGATGGAACTGGATCTAAGCCAGGTCGAGCCACGCCCCCAGCCCCTCACTGGGGATTCTAGGCAGGACTCTTCTGCCAAGCCACACCCCAGAACTTCTGAGGACCAATGATGCCCACCAGTGCTTGCTCCACAGGAGGGTAAACTGGGACCACTGGAGCTTAAGAAGTGTGAGGACAGGAACCTGCCACTCACCAGTCCTGTGTTGTCTGTCCACTGGAAGTCCCTCTCCACTGTCCTGTCATTCAGACCGATCCATGAGTTCTCATGGCCAAAACCTGTTGGGCGGGAGGACTGTGAAAGCATGTTCCTCCCTGGGTGGAAGGACATGTGGACCTGGGAGCCAGGAGGCCTGAGCGGGAGGACTTGTCGGAGGGAGGAGGTGGACTAAGGAGAGGCCCACCCTCAGCCACATGCAGTTTCTGTAGGTTGTATACTGTGGCGGGAAAGGCCACAACATTCCCAGCCTGGAAGTGGGCTTACAGAGGTGAGGAAGACCTGTCCAGCCATGTGAGGGAAGGGGAATTGGGCAGCCAGAAAGAACAAATGTTCACAGGCCCTGTCAGTCACCTGGAGTAGTGCTGGCTGGGGCAAGAGGGACAGAGCAGTAAGGAACCCAAACCAGATGCCAGTTCAGACCATGGATGGTGAGACATGTTGACACAGTGGACCAAACACTGAACAAGGAGAGGATCCACAGGGACGGGGCAGCGCCATGTGAAGAAACGCATGGCGGCTACAGTGACGAGTGCCAGTCTCTGCAGAGGACCAGACGCCCCAAGTCCATGCCCTGGCTCTATTTGTCAATTCCTTCGGTATTAAAAATAAAGCTGGGGTGGTGGCCACGTCTTTAATCCCAGCACTTGGGGGGCAGAGGCAGGCAAATCTCTAAGTTCGAGACCAGCCTGATCTACCGAGCAAGTTCCAGGACAGCCATGGCTACACAGAGAAACCCTGTCTCAAAACAAAACAAAATCAAATAATAATAATGATTATATAGAATAATACAATAAACATAGAAATAATCCAATCTGTAGACAAACATTATCCAAATTAGACATGTGCTTGATGGTCGAAGTCCTGTCACCGGGAACGTCACTTTCTAAGGACACACTTGCCTCACTGCATTCTCAGGACCTGACAAGAGTGTGGGAGAGGGGGCTGGAATGGTGGCTTCCAGAGGTCCTGAGTTCAATTCCCAGTACCCACTTGGTGGCTACAAACATCTGTAATAGGATCTGATGTCCTCTCTGGCATGCAGAATGCACATACATAAAACATAAATAAATGGGGCTGGAGAGATGGCTCAGCGGTTAAGAGCATTGCTTGCCCTTCCAAAGATCCTGAGTTCAATTCCCAGCAACCACATGGTGGCTCACAACCATCTGTAATGAAGTCTGGTGCCCTCTTCTGGCCTCCAGGCATACAAGCAGACAGAATATTGTATACATAATAAGTAAATAAGTAAATATTTTAAAAAAACATAAATAAATTTAAATAATTAAAAAAGACTGGGGGAGATAACAGGCATGCAGAGAATATTTGGGGAGCATCAGGGAACTAACACAGAACTTAACAGACATGTGATCCATCAGTGAGTCTGTGAGTCTCCAGGACTCCCTGGTGGTGCGGTGGTTGAGGGACAAGCTCCCACCCCATATCACTGCAGTGTCCCTACCGTTAATGAACTTGTGCTCCTCTGGTGAGTGGACACTCGTCAGGTGGCCAGCCCGGCGCCTGCAGTCTCTCTCTGCATCCTCCCAGGCACGCCGATGGGCAAAGTACCTGTAGCAGTGACCCTGGAATTTGTGCCAGCCACGGTCACAGCCCTCTGTATCTGGGGGTGGGACAGGAATGTGAGGGGGGCTTGTTACCTCCCAGGATGTAACACACATTATGCCTAGACAGACATGCAGCCACAACACCCACACACAAAAAATAGATTAATCAAAACTTTTTCAATTAAAAAAAAATAGGGCCAGCAAGATACATAAGTAGACAGGGCTAAGGCCGCTTGCCAGCAGCCCCAGAGCAGACAGACAGACAGACAGCAGGAGAGAACAGAGTCCTGCAAGGTTTCCCGACATCATACGTATGCCCCATACCATGCTCATATACAAAACATATAAGTCTTTAAATTGTAACTTAAAATTTTTAACTATATAAAATAAATAATAAAACTAGTTGCCACCCTGTGGGACTCACCCTTCTCGCACAGGCTGCCCCCATAGCTGGGGAGGCAGAGGCAGGTGAAGCCATTCACCCCATCAATGCAGGTGCCTCCATTCTCGCAGGGGCTGCACAAGCAGTCATCAATGTCTGTGAGACACGGGATGGATAGAGGTCAGCTCCCAGCCCACAGGTAGCCGTGAGGAGAGCACTAGCAAGCATGAGTGCAGCAGGCACCACCAGACAGGAAAGCATTCAGTTAACCTGTGTCACCTAACACACACACAAGGGTGCATCCTGTGTGCACCTGTGGGAGGTGAGAGGCCAGTCTTGTTACTCAGTTGTCACTGTCTTGGATTTTTAAAATACAACTTTTTTTTTTAAGATTTATCTATTTATTATGTATACAGTGTTCTGCCTACATGCACACCTGCAAGCCAGCAGAGCTGTCAACCACCATGTAATTGTTGAGGATTGAATTGAACTCTGGTCTGCTCTTAACACTTTCCAGCCCTCCTTTTTTCTTTTCTTTTTCTTTTTTTTTTGAGACAGAGTTTCTCTGTGTAACTCTGCCTGTCCTGGAACTAGCTCTTTAAACTAGGCTAGCCTTGAACTCACAGAGATCTTCCTGCCTCTGCCTCCCGAGTGCTGGAATTAAAAGTATGCGCTGCCACTTCCTGGCTAAAACAAAACATTTTTAAAATGATATTTATTGGGCTGGTGAGGTGGCTCAGAGGATACGAGCACTGACTGCTCTTCCAGAGGTCCTGAGTTCGATTCCCAGCAACCACATGGTGGCTCATGACCATCTGTAATGAAATCTGGTGCCCTCTTCTGGCCTGGAGGGATACATGCAGGCAGAATATTGTGTATATATAATAAATACATTTAAAAAATGATATTTATTTTATGAATTTTTTTTGAGAAAGGGTTCTGTATCTCTCTACGCATGTCTCTATATAATCCTGGCTGTCCTGGACCTCTCTCTGTAGACCAGGTTGGCCTCAAACTCACAGACATCCACATGCTTCTGCCTCCCAAGTGCTGGAATTAAAGGTGTGCGCTGCCATGCCTGGCCCTCATTTGTGTTTTTAGTTATGACTCTATAATTCTTAGTGTGATTGTGAAGTCGAGCAAAGAATGGGAAATGGCTCTCCTGAGCTACAGTCCCCATCACACAGCCCTCAGCTAACTAGTTTGGGCTCAGCTAATTTTGGTTCATTTGCCCAGACTCAAAGCACAAGGGACAGGACAGTGTTCTGGGATGGGACACTCACCAATTTCACAGTTCTCCCCAGCATAGCCCTGATCACAACTACAGCCGTACATGGTGCCGTTGGTTCGACAGGTGCCCCCGTGCAGGCAAGGGTTGTTCTCACAGGGATCTGTGGGGTCTACAGAATGAACAGGCAGTGTGAGGATGGACTGGCCACCATGTCATGGAATCCAGAAATTTCCCCTCTGTTGACTCACCAGTGAACAATGGCTCACATGCTTGTGATAAAGACCTTACCACTTCTGCAACTGCACCACAGCATCTGTGGGACGTCCTACTCAGCAAAGTCCCCTTCCAGGTCACACTAGACTCACCAGTCCAGTGTGTTTATCCACACCAGAAGACAAATTGTAGGAGTTAATTCTCTTTGTCACCATGTGGGTTCAGGGCTTGAACTAACATCCCCAGCCTTGGCAGCAAGCACCTTTACCCACTGAACCCTCTCACTAACCCTGCCAGGTTCCTCTGTACTTGCTGTTTTTTGTCTTTCTCTCTCTGAGAGCAGTGACACTCTATATGGCAATCACACACTGCACTCATGCTTAAATCAACTAAAACAAGATGACGTATGCAGTTCTATGAGCCACATGTCAATCTGACGGCTCAGAGAATGTTCTAGGATATCAGTATGCCAGACATCACTGCTGGCTAACTGAACAGTGGGGGACAAATAGCTGTCCTGTAGTAGCTGAAACATCTGTCCCTGAGGCAGTGACACTGGGAAACTGGGGTCTGGTCTGTGTGATGTGCCTGCTGAAGTTCCAGCTCCGTGCAAGCATGCCCCACCATGCTTTGCCCCACCATGCCACCTGCCTATGGCTGGCACTGAATCAGCTCAGCCAGTATATTTTTGGCTTTATTAGCATTTGTGCCGTGGGTGTCATGCCACCCCTTCAACTTCCACTACCCAGAGTCCTGGCTTTCTTCCAGATGTTGTTACTTTCAGGGACCCATTTCCCCACAGCCTCTGATAGCCTGAGCTGCCATTGGTCTATTGCACACCCCGCACTCAGCCCCTTGCAGGCTAACATCAAAGACACAGGCTCCTTTTCCTTTCATGCTCCTTCCTTCCCACCTTCCTGCTGCCCTTCTCCCCCACTCCATCCTTTGTGTGGTCTCATACAGGCTGCCCTTGAACTTACTTCTTCGCTGGGGTTGACCCTTTCTCCCTGCCCCCTGCCTTTACCTGGGTGTGTGCCAAGCCCAACTCACAAGCTCTGGTTTTGGATTTGTCTCTCTGTCCTAGTTCCAGTTCCAGCCACAGCTGCAGGAACATGCTAGATACTCAGATACCCCATGCCTCAGTCTCCCTTTGAGTAATGTGAGAACCACACAAGAGCTTGTCCCATGAGATGTTACAAAGTTGGACCAATCTGGCTGGGATTGGGGACACATGCCCATGGTCCTCACACTCAGGAGACTGAGGCAGAAGAGTTGGTGAGATCTCTAGAACAGCCTGGTCTACAGAGTGAGATCCTGTCTCACAGTGGGAAGTGGCTGGAAAGATGGTTCAGCAGTTATGAGCACTGTTCTGAGAAGTTTGATTCCTCGCATACATGTGGCGGTTCACAACCATTGGTAGCCCTGGCTCTAAGGGATCCCCATGAGCACCAGGCACATGTGCTGTGTCTGCTGTCATAGGTCTGGGGAGATGGAGACAGAGGGATCCCAGGGGCTCGATGACTATCTAATCTAGCTTGATTGGTAAGTTCATAGGCCAATAAGAGACCCTGCTCCAAAATATGAGATGGAGAACGGGCATGATGGCTGAGCAGCTGAAGGTGCTCAATGCTAAGACTGATAATCGGAGTTTGATTCCTGGAACCCACATAGTGGGAGGGAGCCCAGTCCCAAAATTGTCCCAACTTGCACAAGAGAGCCACGGCATGTTAAATGATGGTAATTAAAAACTAAACAAACAAGGTGGACAGTGCCTGAGGATAGGCACCTCCGGACTGTACATATATCTGTTCAATTGTGCACCTACATGTGTGTGCCCTTGCATGCACATAATAAAAGATAAATGAGTGAATTTTAAGAAACAAGCTGGGTGTAGTGGTTTGAATAAGAACGCCCCCCCCCCAGGTGCATAGACCTGTATGCTTAATCAGCAGGGCGTGGCACTGCTTGAGAAGGATTAGGAGGTGTGGTCTTGTTGGAGGAGGTGTGTCACTGGAGATGGGCTTTGAGGTTTTAACATGCCCATACCAGGCCCAGTTTCTTCTCTCTGCCTGTATACCAGGATGTAGCTCTCAGCTACTGTTCCAACACTATTCATGTTGTCATGATGAACCTCTGAAACTGTAAGCAAGCCCCAATTATGCTTTTCACAGCAATAGGACAGACACTGGGCATGATGCCTTACACCTGCTGTTCCAGCATTCAGAAGGCTAATGTAGGAGGATTGCCACCAGTTCAAAGCCATCCTGGGTTACACAGTTGGCCAAGCAGGCAGTGTTGCTGGCCACTGAGCCTGCCCCCACCTCCCACTCTCTTCATGGCTCCAGCCTCTGACATCTCATTGACTGAGTCAATCCAAGTCTAGTTTCTGCTCATCCATGTCCTGTCCTTCTTACCCTTCCTGGGATGAAACTAGATTCTGCTGTCTTCCAAACACAATGAAACTGTTGAAGGCAGGCCCCTGGTATCACGCTGCCCTGTCCCTCAAAGTGATCTGGATATTTGGAAACCGAACTCCCCCAAATCCAATCCCCTAATTCTTCATGGAGCCCATGTTTTGGTCAATGACCACATTCCTTGAGTGTTAGAAGTGTCCAGTGTTAGTCAAACAAGGTGACAGATGCCTTTAATCCCAACATTCAGGAGACAGAGGCAGGAGGAACTCTGTGAGCTCAAGGCCAGCCTGGTCTACATAGTCAGGTCCATACCAGCCAGAGCCACCAGCACAACATAACACAGAAGACCCAATGTAACTTGCCTCCTGACTTCTAGCATCATCCTTTGATAGAAAATCCCAGCCTTCCCAGAGCATTTCCTCTGCTCAGGGAATCCCCAACCTCCAGTTTCAGGTCCTGGCTGCATTAGGACAGATGGAGAACCCAGAACTTACCCTCCTGCCCGCTGGCCACCTCTTCCCAGAAGTCCGCCAATCCTGGACTCTTGGCCACAACATTCAGATCTGATTCTTTCAAGCCCAAAGACACAGGTGTCAGGGTGCTGGGGGTGTCCCACAGCCCAGTGGGTTCCCCTGAGGAGACTGAGGCCGCTTCATTCATGTTGGAGGCCAGGGATGACCACAGAAGAGAAGGTAGACTGCTATGAGGGCCTGGTGACCCCTGGGCTACTCTCTGGTCCTGTGGCTCTGGGTGACTTTCGGAGCTTGTAGATGTCAGTGTGGGCATACCTTGGGCTCCAGTTATGGTCCCTTGGTTCATACTTGAACTCACAGCCACACGGGTGCTGGAAAAGGAACCTTTGGGTTCAGATCCCCAAGTGGCATCAGCATCTCTAGGGAGCAGTTCCATAGTGGCTTTGAGAGGGCTCTTGGTGGTGCCTCCTGCCAAAGCCACTGTAGGTTCCATGTTCACGGTGACTCCATAGTCTCCCAACAGTGAGGGCTGGGAACTAGTGTCCAGTTCTTGGCTGAACAGTGGTAGCCAGGTGGCCAGCACCTTGCCCACAGTAGCTTGTCCACTAGATGTGGGACTTCTTGATATGTCCCAGACCTCAGACTCAGTCCCCAGGGTGCCAGCATCAGAGGGGACAGGATTGATAGTCACATTACTGGAGTTCAAGGACACCCACTGGCCAGAGATGGGGTGCTTGGTAGCCTGGATGGAGCTGATTCCCCCGATTTCTCTAGAATCTGCAGCAGGGGATTTGTGGTTGGCTTCAACTGGGGCATCTATGGTGGTCTGAGACAGCAATTCCAGGCCCTCGGCTCCAAGGCTGACAGGCCTGGGAGTGGTAACATCCCCATCCTGTGGGGAAGCTAGGGAGGGCAGAGTGGGGGTCACAATGGGGACAAATGTGGAGTGTGGCAGCAGCCACAATTTGGGGGCACGAAGCATGGCTACAAAGGGGAAGTCTGGAGATGTGTCACCAGGGGGTGCCTCATGGAAGACAACAGTTGGGGCCTCTGAAGGACTGGAGGAAGGGAGAGAGGGCACTGAGGGAGACCAGGGCAGGTGGTGGATGGTTGATTTCACACTGGGGGCTTCAGTTGTCCCTGGCTTCAGGCCAGGGCCGCTCTCAGTGCTCTGGACAGTAGGTGAGATCAAAGATGGCGACCACATCCAGGACTCTGGTGGACTCCTGCTGCCAAGGGAACCTGTGACATCAAAAGCGTCACGTTAGCAGGGCCTGGCAGCACGCATGTATGATCCCAGCATGGGAGACTGAGGCAGGAGGATGAACATTTGAGGCCAGTCTGCACTACATAGAGGCGCAGACCCCAGAAACATATCGAGCAGGTGTGGTGGACAAGCCTGTTCTGTGTAGTTGGGGGATCTGGGTTGCAGAGTCATCTCCAGCAAACAAACAATAAAAGCCAGTGTGTCAGCGCACTCCTGCCGTCCTAGTGCCTGGGAGATCCAGGCAGGAGGACTACTTTGAGTTCCAGGCAAACCTTGGGTACAGAGGAAGACTCTGCCTCAAAATGCAAAACTCAGCAATAACGTTTGCTGTAAGACATGAAGACTTGACTCGGAGCCCCAGCACTCACACAACAGATGGCCACGGCAGCGCAGGTCTTCACTCCAGTTCAGGGGAAAGGTGGTCCCCAGTGTAGCCAAAGGGGGCGCCCAGGTTAGTGAGAGACCCTGTCTCAAAAACTAAGGTGGAGGACCACAAAGGAAGACATTTGAAGTCAGCTCTGGTCTCACCGGCTTGTGTGTGTGCACCCACACTCACTCACACACCACATACAGTCACACAACTCACGCTCACACTCACTCCACACACACTCATTAAACACTCATACACACACACACAACAAAATGGAGATTTGGAGGCAGGACTAAGGGCAAGGTTGGGATGCTGGAACAATGTGTGTCTGTGTTCACCCTTCCTTGCTCCCCAGTCACTCACCTGCCCCTGGCACGTCTACTTCATTGGTCAGAATGGCCCAGGGACTGTGACCATGGCTCTGGTCACTCTCCGAGGCTTCTGTGGAAGCAAAAGGCCCCAGGGGACTGGCAGTGAATTCCAGAGTAGGAAGTTGGGCACTGGCCTCTGCTGTTCCAAGCAGTTGGCCAGTTGGGCCCTGTTGCTGGAAGTGTCGACCGTTTAACCCTTTGAAACGGCCCTTCTTCGCCATGGAGGTGGAGGTGACCTGTGTGCCTGGGAGTGTTGTCTCTGCCATATCCACCTCCATGCTGCTGGGGCTGGGGACACCTGTGGAGCTTGTGGCACCTGCAAGCAGCCATGAAGCCAGTGTGGGACCCCTTGGGGTAGGGCCAAGCGTCTTCCGAGGCTCTTGTGTCCATGTCGAGTCCAGGGCTTCCTCTTCTCCGCTGGACGTGAGAGGCCCCTGGAAGCCGGGTGCTGCCTTCTCCTCCTCCTCCCCCAGGCTGGGCTCTAGTTCTTGGGCTAGGGGCCCCTCCGCTGACACAATCTCCCCCTCATCTCCAGAAGAGGGAATCTCTGGGTCTCTGTGTTGTGGTGTAAGGTGATGAGCTGTAGAAAAAGCAGAAGCGGTTGGGATGGCCCAGGCACAGCCAGGAAAGTGCCTGTGTTGTGAAGCCCCACCTAGGGTGGGATTTCTAGGTTAAGGCATCTCAAGAAACAGGCCCATGGGGAGAATACAGTCTTATTCAGAGCCCTCCCCACTAGTTCTGTGTCTTCTTGTCTGGCTGTAACCCAAGAAAACCTGGAAAATCAATATATAGCCCAGGCTTGCTTTAAACTCACAGAGATCCTCCTGCCTCAGCCTTCCAAATGCTGGGTGATACAACAGTGGCCCAGTAGTGGCCACGTCACAGGAAAGACCCATCTTAGGGGGAGGTACTCCACCCAGAGGGTGTGACCTGTCACAGGGTTTTCATGAAGACGTGGGCATGGGAATAATTTTATTGTTTTGTTTCTGGCTTTCTGAGATGGTAGCCCAGGCTTGACCTGAACTGATTAGCTAGCCCAGGATGATCTTAACATTTCTGATTCTTTTGCCTCTTCATCCCAGGCCCTCGGGCCCACACTTGGCTTTTTTTGACAATGGGACAGGACTCAGGGATTTGTGTTTGTAAGGTGAGTGCTCTACCAGATGAACTACAGACGCAGCCCAAGAACAATATAAAGGAATACTTCTTGGCCTGGTAGCCAAAGCACTGGGTCCAGCACTTGGAGGCACAGGCACAGGCATAGGCGTTGCCATCCTGCGCCTGGTATACAAAAGGGAGTCCAAGCCAGTCAGAACTGCTCACTGAGACCTTGTCTCAAGAAAAACAAATAAATGAAAGTTGGTAGGGGTATGGCTTTCATTAGCCTGTGTCTAGAAGCTTGTCCACAGGAGACTCAGCCATGGAGCATGCCAATCACCAATGATTCTGGCATCTGGCCTTCACCTACTCCTGAATGGGTCCAAGGCACAGACTAGTGGCGAGTGGCTTCCGTAAGGCAGATGATGGGTCATGCGGGGTGTGTGTGATCTCAAGGGGACCAACCTATGGCATGTGGCTATAACCAAGCTTTCCTGGGGGGGGGGGTCTGTGGTCCCAAGAGAGCACACCCACAACCCACAAGTAGCTGCAGAGGTTAGCCCGGGTGTATGTGGTCACGCAGGGACACCACCTGGGAGGAGGGCTTAGTTAGACACTCCCAATTGGGGACCGGTCTGGATGACACACACCCAGGAAGGGTGGCCCCAGACAATGGCTCTGGTGGGTGTGGCCTTCAGCCCCTGGGGTTATATCATAACGCACCTCGGAAGCAGTAGGCGTCAAAGCGTGCTCCAGGCGCAGGGAAGCCAGTGCGGTTGGCAAAGCGGTATACAGTGCGCACACCAGGGGCTGGACCCCCACAACGCCGGCGCGGTGTCTGGATCGGGTAGCGCACGCTGCCGTCTGCCAGCCATCCGGGGTCACACTGGTCCAGGCCCTCATGCCAGGCCAAGTACAACTGCCCCACCGAAGCCAGCACCGCACCCTGCCGCTGGCATTGTGCCCGCGCACCTGCCAGGGTCAGTCGGCGGGCGGGGCCCACGTAGAAGACCTCGCCTGGGAGAAGGATAGGGTGGGGGTCAGAAAGGGGTAGAAGGAGGGATGCTCGGAACTGAGGATGGGAAGCTTAGAGGACGGGTGGTCCAGGTTCTGGCTCCAGCTTTGGAGAGCTTTGAGGGGACTTAGCGGGACCGGAGGGCTAGAAGAACACCTGACACTGAGGGAGAGATGGCCCAGGTTCCAGGTGCAGCTTTAGAGGGCACTGCGACTTCACAGAGGTTCATGTGGGCTTAGGAAAATACGGGGATTGGGAAAGCATCTGACACTCAAGGACAGGTGGCCATGGGGTCCCAGCCAAGCTTGCCTTACCCCCTAGCTCTCGGGCAAAGCAGTAGACATCGTAGAGTTCTTGTGGGTCGCGTCTCCCATAGCTCCGAACCCCTGGCTGGCTGCTGCGGTCACCATAGCAACCAGGACGCGACTGAGTGATTGGATACCTGACGGCGGGAGGGGAGTGGCTATCAGACTGTGCTCTGGGAGACCTCTTCTTCAGGATCAACCCCCAGTCTCAAGGCTCCCGCACACCCCCTCACCGAACTGTGCGGTCTGAGAGCCAGCCTGCGTCGCAGTTATCAAAGCCGTCTTCGAAGGCAGCCTGCAGGTGCCGTGGGGCGGCGATGGTGGCAGAACTCAGGCGGCAGGCCTCCTGGGCCTCAGTGAAGGTCAGCGCATAGCGGTCCCGAGCAGCCCGGTAGTGGAACACGACTCCTGTGGGGCAAGTGCCAAGCAGCTGGAGAGAGGCTTATGGCGGAATCTTGGAGAACAGACCTCTCCCGAGCAGACATTTTAAAGACAGGGTCTCATCGGGTGTGGTTCGGCATACCTTTGACCCTAGTACTTGGGAGGCAGAGGCAGGTGGATCCCTGAGTTCGAGGCCAACCTGGTCTATAGAGTGAGTTTCAGGATAGCCAGGGCTACATAGTGAGACTGTGTCTCAAAAAGAACAATGAAACACACACACACACACACACACACACACACACACACACACACGCAAAGAAAAAGACATTGTCTCATTTAAACCAGGCTGGTTTGAGACCCACAAACCCCCACCCACGTCTGCTTCTGAGCTCATCCCCACACCCAGATCGTTTTTTCTTAATCTGTTGGGAAAACAGAGACTACCCTGGATTGTAGGGTACACAATGTGAGAGTTGGGCACACGCTCTCACACAGTGTCTCCCTAATGCATGTGTTAACTGATGTTTTAAAGATAGGCTCACTTAACCTTCTAAAAAGATTTGTATCGGGGGCTGGAGAGATGGCTCAGAGGTTAAGAGCATTGCCTACTCTTCCAAATGTTCTAAGTTCAATTCCCAGCAACCATATGGTGACTCACAACCATCTGTAATGAGGCCTGGTGCCCTCTTCTGGACTGAAGAAAGAATATTGTATACATAATAAGCAAATAAATAAATATTTTTTTAAAAAAGATTTGTATCTAAAAAGGTCTAGAGAGATGGCCCCAAGGTTTAAGAGCATTTTTGCTCTTCCAGAGGTCTCAGATTCAATTCCCAGCATCCACATGGTGGCTCACAACTATCTTTAACTCCAGTTCCATGGGATCCAGCACCACCTTCTGTTTCTGTGGCACCCAAGGTCACACATGGTGCACAATACACATGCAAAGTATCCATGCACATAAAATTTAAAATTAAAAAGTTTTTTTTATTTTTTGTTTTTTGTTTTTTTTTTGAAACAGGGTTTCTCTGTGCAGTCCTAGCTGTCCTGGAATTTGCTCTGTAAACCAGACTGGTCTCAAACTCACAGAGGTTGCCTGCTTCTGCATCCCAAGTGGGATTACCAACCACAGGACAACTTGTAAGGTGAACCTCAGTGGCTGGATCTCAGGCTTGGTCCTCCCCTTCCATCCTCAGTGCCTCTCATTCCATCCGCGGACCTTCCCTTCAGTGTACAATGCCCCCTTCATCTTCAGGGGATTGCCCCCCCATCTTCTGTTTATCCCCTACGATTTTAGCACCTCATTATCTATACTTGGCTCCTTCTCTGCAAACCCCACCCTTTCACAGTAGCTCCTCCCCTTCTGTGCTGGGCACCTTCCTCTCCATCTTCAGACCCTCTCTTTCCAGCTTCCTTTTCCTTCCTTTGACGCTCTTCCTAGGATTCCTGGGCTCCTCCTCCCAGCCTCAACCCTTCCCCTTCATCCTAGGTCCCTCCTCTTTCATCTTTGACCACACCCATTACCTGATGCCAACTCACCTGTCACCTCCAGGGTCGCCAGATCCTGCACATCTTCAATACCTCTTACCACTTGACAGCGATACAGCCCAGAGTCGCTGGCCCGAAGCGGCCCCAACAGAAGGGTAGCATTAGTTCTGTGTCGGGGGTAAGCAGGCAATGACACCCGTCCCTGCCAGTCCTTGGCCACACGCACCACATTGTCCTTGGCCACCAAAATGGGCAAATCCTGTCGCTGGCCTGATGCAGTCCGAACCTTGGTCCACTTGATCCGAGGAATGTCTCGAAGGGTGCCTAGCAGTGGCTTCCAGGTAAAGAGGCAGGGCAGGGCTACCAACTCTGCCAGGGCAGCACGGATGGGTCCCGACCCTGACTTCAGCATGTGAAGCCCCTTTTCCATGGTAGTGTTGTCCTGTGTGTCTGGGATGGAAAGAGGACCTGAATCAGTGGCGAGGACCAGCAGAACACTGACATTTCTTGCTTTCATGGGTTAGTTTTTCTCTTCCAGTTTTCTTTCACTAACTCTTTGTTCTGTGTTTTGAGACAATTATCTTACTATGTAGGCTTGGCTGCTCTGGAACTCACCACATAGACCAGGTTGGCTCAAACTCACAGAGACCCCTCCTGCCTTTGCTTCCCCAGTGTTGGGATTAGAGGCGTGCACCACCACGCCCAGCTTCACTGCCAGGCTGCCCACACAATGTCACAGTGCAAGAAGGGACCACCATGCCAGACCACTCATGGTTCTGCCTCTTGTGGGAGAATTCCAAAAGCCTCTCATATGGCTGAGCTATGGCTGTCATTATCACTGCCTTGCTGTGTGGTTCTGGGAAAGTCACTTTCCTTCTCTGAGCCTCAAAAGTTAAGCCAGAGGCAGACACTGGAAGCAGTGTTTATAGGGTAATTTCTTTCCTTTTTTTCTTCTGGTTTTAGACAGAGTCACCTGTAGCACAGGTTAGCCTCAAACTTAGTATATAGCTTAGGAGATCTTGCACTTCTGATCCTGCTGTTCTATTGGCCGACTGCTGGGATTACATGGGTGGGCTACTCTGTTGGGAGTGCTCAGTCAAGTCACTGAATTCCCACAACCATCTATAGTAGCAATGGCTTGTCTTCTTCTAGAAACACTGGGAAACAGAAGATCAGAGAAATAAATATTTCTGCCTATGGCCACAGAGAAACTCAACGAGGGATTGACACCATTGGGGGAGATTCTAGAGGAGGCACAGAGATCTTCCTTCCCTTTCCCACCTGCCTCTCTCTTTCCCCACACCTTTCTTCTTCAGATTGTTTCAGCAAAAGACAGTGAGAGGCACACTCCAGCCTCTGCAGCTGTAACTAAAAATACCTTTCAGGTGTCCCACTCCCTTTTCACTGCTCAGAAAACTGGTTTCAGCTTTTCTCATTTTATTGTGTAGGCCCAGCTAGAGGAGCATCAGGAGAAGGTTCTGAAATGAAGAAACCTCATCCCATCCCGCTGACCCCCACTCCCAGAGCCCCACTCACCCTGATCCCCAGTCACTAGGAGCAACAGTCTCAGCACCAGAAGGCTGGAGGCCCAGACAGATGTGACCCCCATGCTGGAGCTAGGAGCAAAGCAGAGGGAGGGAGGGTGAGTCATGGCACAGACCCTCCCCCGACCTTGAACATGAAAGAACCGGATGGCCCATGCAAGAATTAGGAATCAAAACTCAGAAAGGCCAGCATGTCACCGAGGGTCACAGAACAAGAAAGCAGGGGCCATGCAGGCAGGATCTGAACTGCAAGCATCTCAATTCAGAACCCAAGCAGTAAGGCAGGGTGCAGATTAGTGGCGGGGCACCTGCTGAGCTCACAGGCCTACATTCTGGCCCAACATCTTCCAGGCTTACGTAGGCCTTGGATTCTCTTCCCAGCCCTTGCTATTCTCCTGAGGGGGCCCACTTCTAGCCCCCAACTCTGTAACCCACTGAGCATATGTGAGCCTGGGGCTCTAGTCCTGTATATCACTCCATGTTGGGAGGGTTTAGTGGCTCACACAATCTCACATCTCAGACCTGGAGGGGTAGGGACCGAATGCACAGGTTGTCATGATCTGCATAGCAAGTTCTCTGACTTTGCCTCTTCCTTGCTGTGTGACTTGGGCAAGGAGCTTAGCTTCTCTCTGCCTCCCCTTCCTTGTGGGTGAGATGAGGATAACAGCTGGCTGGAAGGGATGGATGAGTCAACTTATACACAGGGTTTTGAGCAACTTGGTTTGAAGGAGAACATTTTAGCTGTGGCTAATATTATCATTAAACTTCACACTGGCAAGTCTGAAATCCTGTTTTTCAAGTCAGCTTTCACCATAAGACTGGGCTCCTAAGGGAAGCATTGAGTCCTCATCCTTCTGGGGGTCCTCAGGTTCTTCCCAGGTCCAGTTCTCCCAGCTGACACTTCCTCTGTCCTGGTCTCTGTCCATGGTCCTTCCAGAGGGGCCATGTCCCACCTGGCATACGGTAGCAATTACTGAGTGCCCGTGAGCAACATCTACCTCGTGTGCCAGAAATACATTTATTCCCCAGGGATTCTTCAACTAAACTTTGCCCCTCTCTCAATTCAGACCCCTCCCAGGGGCTCAAAGGAAACTGGAGGGGGAAGTCAGAGGGACACTTGCAAACAGGTCCTTCAGCCTATCAAAGAAGAGCAGGCCCCTGTGGGTGGGGTCTCCAAGAGGCCTCGAAGAGCACAGCTCAGTCCCATTCCCCTCCTGGTGTGGACCTGTCCTTGGTGCTGAACTCTGAGGAGTAAAGCTGGCCTGCCTCAGCACCCAGAGAAGGCTAGCTGTTGGTTTTGGGTTGCACAGTAGAGCACAGGCTACCAACTTGTAAATGCCCACAACCTCTAACTTCAACCCAGGCCATCCCCACTTCTTCTCCCTGGGAACCCTAAGTCAGTGCGAGGTACACTAGTGGCTGAGATTACCGCATCGGGATCTAGGGGAGATCAAGGCCAGAAGAACATGTGTTCTCTCATTCTCTTTCTCCTCAGCCCTCTCCACATAACTGAGTTCATTTGGATGTGGTGGCCAAAGACTGTCATCCTACACTTAGGAAGTGAAGGCAGGAGGATCAATGAGTTTAAAGTCAACCTATACATAATACCCAGTCTCAAAAAAAAAAAAAAAAAAAGGTATAGTGGCACACACCTTTAATCCCAACACTCAGGAAGCAGAGGAAGGTGGATCTCTGTGAATTCCAGCCTGGTCTACAGAGTGAGTTCCAGGACAGTCAGAGCTACACAGAAAATCCCTGTGTAGAAAACAATCCCCAAAAGAATCCATGTCACGTTCTTCCTACTTACCCAACATGCAACTCTGCACCAGGGACCTTGTTTCCCCATAACTCAGTTTCCCCACCTGTCAAATAAGCCTCATCCAGCCCAAACCCTCTGAAGTTTTCTGGAAGGAGTGAGCTAAGACTTGTAAAATACATCAAATTTAAAAACAGCTCTTTGTACACAAAACCTTGGGAACACCCTAAAAATAACCCAAGGTAGCCCAACCCAGTGACAGACAAAGGTCAGCCTCACAGTCTTCCCTCTCCCTTTCACACACCCACAGGCTTCTCTTAAAATACCTCCTCCCCTGGGCAGCCAGAGGTGAATGGCAGCATTTGGACCGAGGTCTGGACCCACCCACTCATGAATGATGCATTAGCCTCATGTATATGCGAGTAGGGGCCTGCAGGGGAGAGGGGAGGCACATTCAAGTGTGTGTGTTGCGGTCCCACCCACCCCAACCCATCTCTAGTCTCTTCACTGAGTTGGAGTTGGGCACTTATCATTTAGTGTCAATGGGTGTTTGCATGTGCATCTGGGGGCTATGTCTGGGCAAAGGTATGCCAGTCTATACCCTACGGTGTGGGGACATGAGTAACATGAGCTTCAGGAGGATTTCTAGTCCTGGGCAAAGGCCACACACATTCACACACATGCACTTGCAGTCACTGTGGGTTCCTGGCCTGAGACTCACAATGGGTTTGTGTGCACAGTCATGAACATGGAATACTGTGGAGGAAAAAGGAAGCCAAGCTAGGGATTCTCACCCCTGCCATGCCTCTCCCACTGCGACTCCCAGGCTCTGGGTCACCTGTCCCTATTCACAAAACTCACCCCAGACACACACTCAGAAGAGACACACACAGTGACTTCTAGGGAGACTAAGAAAGAGAACCCATGCAGGCTCTCACTGTGCCGCCTCTACACAAAGACACCCACAGTCTGGAGCCCTCTGTTGAAGCCCCAGTGGATCAACCACTTGGTCTGGCTCCTTCCACAGGCGGCCACACCAGCCCTGAGTACAGGGGGGGGATGCATATGGCCTTGCTGACCAATGCATGGTCACTGGTAATGTGGCCCCCATCACAGTTTTGAAACAAAAGACTAACTGCAGTTGTATCAGCCACAGGAGACCCCAGGCACCCTGATATTCCTCTCCTCATGGCCTGTTGACAAAGACCCCAACAAAAGGACTGGAAATCTTCCCTATTTCTCTGTGGGGATGTCCAGGGGCCACTGATCTGGGGTGGCACAGTGCCTTCCTAACTGTTCCCCACATGCCCAGCTTGGGCCATCGCCCACCCTGGCCTGCCTCAGCCTGGCTTCTTCCCAGCCACACTTAGAATGAACAAAGCCTCACTGTGATGTATGGATGGGAGTCACTTGAATACCTCAGTGGCGGGTACCCTCCCTTCTAGAACCTAGTCACCCAAACAGTTTTTAAAATGCACATTCAGACAGACTAGGGTGAAGCATCATGTGGAGGGCTGACATGATGTAGAGATGTGAACACCTGGGTTCTCTGTTTCCCGCAGGATCCATCTAGGTCCTGGACACCCATATTAGGGCAGACCAGAACCCACACCCTCCCCTTAGGATGGGGCAGCCTGCGCCTTCTTCCCGGCCAGAATGCAGTTAGAGGAGAGACCTATCTGAATTCCCTTCCCAGGGACCAAGACTCAGCTGCAGACACTCTTGAATTGGGGGCCCCCTCCCCACCGCAGCCCTCCATTCACTTGTAAATTGGAAGTCCCCACTTCAAATTCCCGGGGTGTCTCAGCTAAAACACCGGGGGTATCCAGTCCCGAGATTCTCTGGGTCATATGCAGGATGCCCTTGTCTGTTTTCCAAACTCGGGGTGCCCCTCCCCTAGACCTAGCTCTCAGTGCCTCCTGTTTGATCCAGAGAACTATCCGCAGCCAGGGACCCTTCCCACCGGAGAGTCTTTTCATTCAAGACTACCTCCGTTCCCAACACCCTTAAAACTGCCCCTCATGCGCTCGCCCTCCACCCCAAACTCGGATCCCCTCCCCCACCGCTCCCTGCCCATCGCCATTCAGGTGGAGGGCTTCGCCTTCCTTCTGGTCAGTCCTCCCCAAGTCCGATTCCTTGTTGCCCCCCTCTCTGCGGGCCCCCCACACCTGGCTTCTTAGCGCGGACACATCCCCACGGCCCCGGGCACAAAAGACTCGTGATGGATCCGGGTGCTTCTCCAGGCCCTGCACCCGGTGCTCAGCACGCCAGGCTCAGCCTCCTCACTTATAAAGGACCATGGGTATGCTGTGCGCATGCGCAGCCTCAGGCCTCCAGCTTCGCTGGTAAGGGCGCCCAGACAGATTCACTTCTCTCGTCTCTATTCACACTGCCCAGGGACAGCCTACACCCCTACAGACTCCGCCCCCATTCTCTTTGCCCGCTTAGAAACCCCATTAAATGGGCCCAGTATGCCTTATGAGGCCACTCGCTTCAATTTAGAGGTGGGGAAACCGAGCCTTAGGGAGGTAAGAGTGCCAAGGTCACGCTGAGGGAAAGAGCAGAGCAGAGGTTCAAAACTGACTGCCCAAGGCTCCAAGTACAGTTAATTCCTGGAACAAAAATGGGCTCGGAGGAGCCACCGGTCATACGGCTGCAAAGGTACTGTGCGACAAAGCCAGTAATCTCTCCTCGGCAGTGTAAGCTTTTGCTGCCAAACCTGAGGACCCGAGTTCAAGTCTTGGGATCTACAGGGTGGAAGGAGAGAGCTGACTCCTGCAACTCGTCTTTTGACCTCCACCCACACAAGATAAATAAATGTTAAATCATCACAGACAGAAGCTGGGGCTGGGAACTGCAGAACTGCTCCAACAGCCCAGCCATGTCCACGCCATTTGATCACTCACTCACCCACCCCGCGCGCGCCCCGCGCGCGCCCGCGCCCGCCCCCACCCACCCCTCACCCATCACTCACTCACTGCTCACTCACTTACTTGGTCCTATCATTTAACGTGCATACCAGGGCCATGTGTTTAGGATATTCCTACTTTGGGCAGGAGTATATGTGCAGCTTGACTGGAACCCTTGATTTTAGGGGCTGTGGATATGGCTCAGTATCTAGCATGCAAGAATCCGTGGGTTTGATCCAGGCATCTCATAAAGCAGCATGGTATGGTGTTGCTCCCCTGTATTCCAGCACTTAGGCAGAGGAGGCAGGAGGATCAGTTCAAGGTCATCCCCAGCTTCATACCAGATTGGAGATCGCTTTGGCTACCTGAGACCCTAGCCTCAAAAATGAGGTGGGGCTTGGGGGAAGAGGAACTACAGGAGATGGCTCAGTGGTGAAGTGCCTGCTTCACCAGCATGAGAGCCTACCTACCCTGGCCCCTATGTAGAAGCCGTGTGCAGTGGCATTCCTATACCAGCTCAGAGGACAGACACAAGTGGATCCCCATGTCTGTCTGTCTTTCTTTCTTTTTTCCTTTCTTTTCTTTCTTTTTTCTATTTTGTTTTGGGGGGCATTATTTGTTCCTTTGTTTGAGACAGGGTTTCTCTATGTGGCCCTGGTTGTCCTGGAACTTTCTCTGTAGGCCAGGCTGGCCTCAAACTCAGAATCCCACCTATCTCTGCCTCCAGAGTGCTGGGATCAAAGGTGTGCACCACCACTGCCCATCCCAGAGTCCTGTGTTTTGCTGGTCATTGCTGGTCAACTTGTCTAGCCAAAATGACAAGCATGTCTCAAAAAAAAAAAAAAAGAATGGATAAACAAATAAGTCAGAGAGAAATAGAAACACTCCTATGAACTTCACACTCACATGTACACCCCTGCGCACACATGCACACACACAAGCACGGACACACACACACACACACACACACACACACAGATATTTGCTCTACCCCACAGATTTTAGATTTCACTCAGACACACCAGCAGCACCAGACTCAATAGCTAAGGCAGGGGATCCTGAGTTTACGTTTAGCCTGGACTACAAAACTGTCTCTCTAAAGAAACCAGAACAAATCTAGATCCCTGTGGGGGAATATTATGTAGCCATGAAAAATTCTACACATGCCAGGTGGTGGTGGCGCACGCCTTTAATCCCAGTGCTCAGGAGGCAGAGGCAGGTGGATCTCTGAGTTTTAGGCCAGCCTGGTCTACAGAGCAAGTTCTAGGACAGGTTCCAAAGCTACACAGAGACATCCTGTCTCAGAATACAAAACAAAACAAAGTTCTACACACAACAGCAATAAACCTGGAAATGATGATACTGAGCTGTCAGGGACAGGCAGGCACAAAAGGACACATATGTGTGGTCCCTGGACAGTCCAACCCATGGAGACAGGAAACAGATCAGGGCTGTGAATGGCTGCTTGTGGGGAAGCGGTTTTCTCTCAAGGAGTGAAAGTATGTTACAACAAAAAGAGGCAACCATTTTCAAATAATATAAACGCCCTTAAGCCCAGCTCCCTGCAAAACTACTAATCTACTGACCGCAGGGTTTTACATGTTTGCTTGTTGAATGTTCTCTTTCAGACGGGCTCACTCTGTAAATCTTGCTGGTATGGACTGGCTATGACTTAGTCTAGGTTAGACTTGAACTTCAAATGACCCTCCTAATCTCTGCTTTCAGAGCAAGGGTTACAATGTTACCACCACATCAGCGTTGCTACTGTTTTGTCCTTGTTCATAAGATTTACTTCTGTGGGGTGTGTGTCTCTGTGTATGAATGCCCACAGAGGCCAGGAGTCAGAGCACCTGCAGCCGGCAGAATGGGCCGTTTTGAACTGCTGTACAAGGACACTGGGAACCAGACTTGAGTCCTCTGTAAGAGCAGCAAGTGCTCGTAACTATCTGTATCTCAGAGCCTGCCACCTCCTTTAAAAAACAAAGCAGGGTCTCCTGCCTGGAACTTGCTATGTTCCGAGGCTGGCTTTTCACTTCTCTATAGGAATGACTTTGAACTCCTGGTCCTCCTGCTTCACCCCCCGAATGCTGGGGTTGCAGGTGTGCTCTCCACTATGCCTGGTATAGCTAACTGGTGCTGGGGATGGAACCTGGGGCTTTGTGCATCTAGGCAAGCACTCTGTCCACAGAGCCCTGGGCTCAGCCCTCCATCCTTGGTTTGGTTTGCGCTTGAGACAGGGTTGAATATGTAGAGCAAACTCAACCCTCCCTCCACCCTGACGCACACACACACACACACATGCACAAAAGGTTTTTTATTTTTTTGTTTTGTTTTTGTTTGTTTGTTTGTTCTTCAAGACAAAATTTCTCTGTGAGTTCCTGACTGTACTGGAACTCACTCTGTAGATCAGGTTGGCCTAGAACTCACAGAGATCCGCCTGTCTCTGCCTCCCGAATGCTGGGATTAATCGCATGCATTATCAACACCCAGAAAAAAGTTCTCTTACAATAATGACATAAAATTAAAAACATAGTGGTAAATTTAAGGTTAAGATGGTGACCCAGAAGGTAAAAGTGGCAAGCCTGGTGAGCTGAGTGTTACAGGTCGTCCTCTGACCTCCACATTCACTCAGGGCACGCACGCACCCCTGCAGGTCGCCCTCTGACCTCCACATTCACTCAGGGCACGCATGCACCCCTGCAGGACACCCTCTGACCTCCACATTCACTCACAGCATGCATGCATCCCTCCAATAAAAAGCAATATTACCTAACCAATGAGCATGGTCCGGGGTATGGTGGTTTGGATGTACTGTGATGTGGTCAATTTCCACCGGACACTCCCACACACTGCACTAACTACTTGTCTGATGGCTCTGATACAACACCTGACCAAACCTACATAAAGACATCCAGAACGGATCTTCCCAGTCAGTTAACTAATGTAAGTATTCCTGCATGTCCAGAAGTTTGTTTCCTTAGGGAAACATTTTCTTAGTGAGTCTAGATCCTATTAAGTTGACAATCAAATCAAGGAGAGCCATGCCCTCACTCCCTGTACCCCACAACCTGCGCAATGCCACTCCCATCAGAGCAAATTACATATCCTCTGAATTTGTCACCATAGAGACTGGACATGATGGCTTGCAACTATTATTCTTGTGCTGTATAGGCTTCCGGAATTGTCATTAGTTTTAGGACAGCCTGGGCTACAAAGTAATTTCCAAGCTAGACTCAGTTAAAGTAAGATCCAGTCTTAAACAAGAGCAAGAAGAAAGAGTTATGCCAGGTGGTAGTGGTGTCACACAGCCCAGCACTCAGGAGAGACAGGCGGTTCTCTGAGTTAGAGGCCAGCCTGGTCTACAGAGAGAGTTCTAGGACAGTATGGCTATACCGAGAAACCCTGTCTTGAAAATAATTTTTGAAGGGCTGGAGAGACCACTCAGGATTGAGAGCACTGACTGCTCTACCAGAGGAACCAAGTTCAATTCCCAGCACCCACATGGCTGCTCACAACTGTCTGTAACTCCAGTTTCAAGGATCTGGCATTCTCACACAGACATACATGCAGGTAAAACACCAATGCACATTAAAATAAACAAATCTTTAAAAGATGGAAAAAAAAGGTAAAGGACTAAAGGTGTAGCTCAGTCAGTGCTCTTAACTGTTGAACCATCTCTCCAGCCCCCAAAAACAAGTTCTTAAAAAATATGTACTAGCTTCAACGCAATGCCCATCAAAATTCCAGCAAAATTCTTCAAAGACCTCAAAAAACAGTACTCAACTTCATTTGGAAAGGCAAAAACAAACAAACAAAAAAATAAACCGGGATAGCCAAAACAATCCTGGGCAATAAAAGTACTTCTGGAGGCATCACAATCCCTGACTTCAAACTCTACTACAGAGCTACAGTACTGAAAACAGCCTGGTACTGGCATAAGAACAGACAGGAGAACCAATGGAAACAAATAGAAGATCCAGATATCAATCCACACATCTTCAAACACCTGATCTTTGATAAAGAAGCAAAAAATATCAAATGGAAAAAAGAAAGTACATTTAATAAGTGGTGCTGGCATAACTGGATATCAACATGTAGAAAAATGAAAATAGACCCATATCTACCACCATGCACAAAATTCAAGTACAAATGGATCAAAGACCTCAACATAAAGCCAGTCACACTGAACCGTATAGAAGAGAAAGTGGGAAGTACACTTGAATGCATTGGCACAGGGAATCACTTCCTAAATATAACCCCAGCAGCACAGACACTGAGAGAAACAATTAATAAATGAGATCTCCTGAAACTGAAAAGCTTCTGTAAAGCAAAGGACATGGTCAACAAGACAAAACGACAGCCTACGGAATGGGAAAA